GTTAACTAATGTATAGTTAAACAATTATATTTATTGAATACGCTATTTACCATTCCCTACTCACTTTTCATTATCCGTTATCCACTATCTGCTAACTACTACCTACTACCTGTTACCGCTATCCGCTATCTGCTATCCGTTATTTGTTTCATACTATCTGCTATCTCCTGAATTTTAATCGCTGTACGGAACAAGGCCTAAGTTTTTCCTCGCTCCCTCCTAACACCTTCCCTGGACGGTCCCTGAAAAACTATGGCGGAAAGAGCAGGAAAGTGAGGGAAAATTTTAGTGAGCAAGGGAAAATAGGGGGAATATTGCATAAAATTTTCTTGAGATATTAGGAAAAAGAAACGATAGATTGAGGTAGAGAAAAAAAAAAAGAAAAAAAAAAAGGAGAGAAATGAAGCACATTTCCAAGAAGCTACACAAAGGCCATAATCAAGAGCCTAATCGGACTAACGAGCCGCCGTCTCCCTCATGCGCCACCGATCATCAACGGCCCATGTCCGGAAACTCTCCGACGAGTCCCTCCACGTCATCTCCTGCTCCGGCTACTGTTCCGCCGAGCGCCGGGAACGCTACAGCAGCGTGGACTGTGTCGGCAAGTAATGGTACCGATTACATGTTGTCGGAGGACGAGTTCCAGGTTCAGTTAGCTCTAGCGATCAGCGCGTCGAATTCGGAGGATCAGATCCGCGCGGCGACTCTGCTGAGCTTGGGCGGCCATCATCAGATGGATACAGGCAGGGATAGGGAGGAGGTGCCCCGCAGCGGATTTATCGAGACATTATTGGGTGAGTGTTCGTCAACTTTCTCCTTACCCATTTTGAGGTCGAATTGGATTCTGGTGGATTCAAGTTGGAATGGGTTTTGTAGTGTTGGTGCTGGTGGATGGATTGTAGTTAATGAGCTTACTTAAAGTAGGGGCTTTTGGTCTGTGCCTATAAGCAATTTTGAATTTCTGGTAATTAGAGCAAGTCACCATGGAATTGTGTTAAGTATGGCCATTCAGATAGTTAGTTAATGTAACTAAGGTTACTTTTACTGCAGTTACTTTGTAACCCAGGTTAGTTTTTCTTCTTTAAATAGACCTTTGTAGAAGTAGAAGTAACGTTTGGAAAAAAGGAGTAGGAAGTAGAAATAATAGCAAATAGAGAGAGTCTACTCAAAGGTTGTACTCAGCTACTCAAATCCTTTGTAATCTGCACTCTTTCAAGTATGTATAAAATATATTTCTAGTTAATTTCTTTAATGTGTTATTTAGCTTAAACACAAATCTTTGGCAAAGAGAATAGTTTGTAACTTTTGTTTGTCTCATTATTCTATATTCATATACTTATATATAGATGAAGGATTCCTGTTTCAGGCTGTTTTCGACTTCTTTCACAAAGATTTTTAAAAATGGAAAGATAATTGTTTTTCATGACCTACACCACTGTGGAGAGTAAGAAAGTTAAACCTGAATAGCCTGGTAGAGGAGAAATTCTTTACTACCTAGCCCTACTGGAGAGTATTGTAACCTTGAGTATTCTAGCATCTTGCCTTTTTTGTGAGTTAATCTAGTGGAGAGAGCATGAGTTGGAGAAAAGGGCTATGATTTAAGGAAGTGATTACTTGGGTTATGATACTTAATCCTTGCTCTTCTGATATCTAGCAGTGATCCATTTTTGGATGACGGAAATTAATGTTCTGGAACACTTAATGCTGAAGCATTAATTTTAATTGGATTCAATAGCATTAAATGGGCATGAATTAGGTTTGGATTGCTTATCAGTGTTGGCAGTTGCTGCTGGTTGGTTTTGGATTGTTAGGGTTAATGCAATTTACTCTCAGATTAAGTAAAAATGATGAATTGCAGCATCATGGAGTCTTTCATGCTATGAAATTGTAGTGGATGAGGTTGAACTAAGATTAGTAATTGTGTTTTGTTCTTAACAACTCAAATGTATTTTGTATCTAGTTTTAGATTATATATTGCTGGCCAACAAATTTCATTGCTACCATTTTGGACTTGCATAATTTATAGTTAAGAAAACTATGACCATCTTAATTATTTGAGTCCTGCATTTTTAATTTTAGTAGCTGAGTTGGAATGGTTACTTTTCTTGATTACATACATTGAATTCTTGATCCTTGCTTAATTTGGGGAAGGAGTATCTCCTGTGTACTGTTCTTTTGTTTTCTACTTTGTGAAGCTTTATTCAATCAGGTAAGTAGTTGATTTTGTGATAGAAATGGGATTTAAAATCTGAAAATTTTGTTTATGTGGTTGAAGTTATGTTGAAGTGATAATATTGACTAAAAAAGCAGTCGTTGCCAAATTGAGTTCACTTAAACAATTTAACATGTAGAAAGTTTTTCTATTTAAGAATGCAATCAAATATCTGATTTTTTTGCTAGTTTAAAATATATATTCTCCATGCCAGAATGTCTTTCAGGCATATTGAGTTTGAAAGTTTCTTATACATTGCTACTTCATATTAATGCTTGACTGTAATTTGTTTACATATATTGCTATGTTGTACTGCGTCTGTAGTTATTCTATTTGGCTTGACCTCTAGGAGTACAGTGTGCTTGATTACAAAGAGAAAGTGGTTGATGGTTTCTATCATGTGTATGGGCCTTCCACAAATTCAGCACTCCAAGGAAAAATGCCATCTCTTGCAGATCTTGAGACAAATCTTGGGAATTATGGCTTTGAAGTTGTGATTGTCAATCGAACAATTGACCCTGTCTTAGAAGAGTTGGTGCAAATTGCACATTGTATTGCATTAGATTGCCCTGCTAGTAACGTTAGTGTTTTAGTCCAAAAGCTTGCTGAATTTGTTACAGGCCATATGGGTGGACCCGTTAAGGATGCTAATATAATGTTCGCAAGGTGGATGGATAGGAGCATGGAATTGAGAACATCTCTTCATACAAGTTTATTGCCTATTGGGTCCATTAATATATGATTGTCTCGGCATCATGCTTTACTTTTCAAGGTTAGTTATTTTGTTTTTTGTTGACTTTCAAGGTTAGTTATTAAACTTAAACTTGTGGCTCTAGTCTCCACTGGCCAACTTTCTGTTACTGTAATATATTAACCATTTCTACACCTCTTATTAAATGTGAGTTCATGTAACATGAAAAGGAAAAGATATGGCTCTGTCTACTTTTTAGAGTCATGTTTGTATCTTGAGGAAGATCCTTCTTCCTTTTTTTTTTTTTGGTAAGATTTAAGTATCTTGAGAATCTGTGATC